GGAGGGAGCGCCTCGCCGGGTGAGCTGGGTGCGCCGGGCCGTTGAGGTGGGGGTGCCAGCCTTTTGTCATTGTTCATGCTGCGGTTTTCTTCTGTGCGTTTTCTTCTCAGTAACGGAAATAATAAAAGCAGTAGCTGATGCCCGCCAAGAGTGCTCCGGTGCCAGGCAGCGGACTGGCGCATCGCCCGAACGCACCCGCGCATCCCTGCTAACGGAGAGGGTGGTTCCCGCTCTGTCCGGGGGAAACCGAGGCAGGGTGGCGAGGCCATTGTCCAGGTGTAACTGGGCCTGGGGCTTGGATCAGGATTCCCTTCCCGGCTCTACTACTTTCTGTTGTGACTTTGGGCAGGTCACGACGTCCTGATTCTCAGTCTCCGTCACGTTTGTAAATGCGAAGATTAAAAATACTGCCTGGAAAGCACTCAGCGCTTCCTGGGAGGAGGTGCGCGTCGCCGCGTGACCGAGGCCTTACACGGCAGCTTCCCCTGGGCTGGTCGAGGCACCCGCTGGAGCTGGCCCAGGAGAGCCCCAGGTTGGCTCCATGCCACGGGCACCCTGAGGAGTCGCAGCAGATCGCAGGCCTGGAGGCCCTCACACTTGCCTGGCTGCCCCAGGCGGCCTCTGCCCCTGCTCTCTCTGGGGCAGGCACGGTTTCCACCCCTCCCACCGGGGGTTTGTGTTTGGGCAGCGACGGCTGTTTCTGTCTGTGGATGCCATTGGAGGCGGCACCTGTGGAGTATTATTTAGGAGGGACAGCAAAGCTCTGGCATGTGTCTTGGGTGGGGACAGTGTCTTAATCCTGTTACTTTGGGTAAAGTCCCGGCGAAGATGTAGTAAGAGGCTGGGAAAGCTGAGTGGTTGGATTATGCCCACAGTTTCTTGGGGAGAACATAGCACTCCACGGAAGGGCCATTCAGGGCAAGCAGTGGGGTCTGTCACGAGGGTGGAGATGCGGGGAAGCCTCGTTATCACGGCTTCCACAGGGAGGAAAGGGCGAGGCAGGGCAGTCAGGCTGAGGATCAGCTAGCTAGGCTGGAAGGTGGCACCCGAGGAAACTGGATATTCATTGCAACTGTTAGGGCGTGCAGTTTAAAGCTAGCTAAGGACTCCAGACATCCATGGGTGAGTCACTGTTTGCCTAGAGGTAGCTGAGAGGCCCTCAAGTGGAAGTTAAAGAGTCGAAGTGCAGAAATAGAAGTGTGGAGAAGGGATGGAGGTTGGCAAATTGCCCTAGTGAATGCTTGTCTTGGTTTACGTCATTATGTGGGGTGGCTTTTTTGAGACCTGATGGATGTTATGGGCGGTTGTAACTTCCTCTGTCCAAGCCATCTCCTGACACCAGGGTTCCTCTTGACACCTTTTTCCTCTGCAGACCCACTGTGTCCACACTGCTCTCCCTGGGCAGGAGCACTGAGGAGGAAGGGATGGCTGTGGATCTGCTGCCCGCTCAGGTGAGAGTGAGTGAAGTTTGTCTTTTTCATCCGTTGGCTTCTGGATGCAGAGATGGTAGACACGTTTCCAGACTCTGGCCAGGTACTTTTTGGTCCAACTAAAACGATGAAGAATCCGGAGCCTCAAAAGTTTTTCCCAGTGTCTTGGGCTTAGTGAGGGGCTGCTGAGGAATGTGCCTCTTTTGTCCCCAGACCACTCTTAATTCACCCCACTCACTTTGTGATCAACATTTGAGGCAGTTCTGAGCATATGCTTCCGGCTGCAGTGGAGCTTGCTGGGGAGAATGGGGCATGAAGCTGTCTTGTCTTCACAGAGGATATAGTCACACTTGGGGCTAAGATGTGGAAGGGCTGGAAGACACTCTCCACAAGCATTTACTGAGCCCTGTGTACAGGATCCTGTGCAGCACACAGG